AATTCCACGGACAGAGGAGCATGGGGGGTTGCAGTCCATGGGGTCGCAAAGTCGGACATGACTGAGCGACTAATATACACATACATAATACTCATCAGATAGTATACTGTTGTTGTAACTAGTAATACCAATAACACTGGTATTACTGTGTTTTAAAGATGAGGACACAGAGGTACAGTAAGGTCAAGTAACTTACTCAAAATCACACAGTTGATAAGTTTTAAATCTGAACAGTTTGGTTTGAGGATTCATGCTTTTCAGCATTTTACTTAAGAGCCACCCCTGAGAACATTTCAGAGCAAAATCTGAGTTGCGTTTCAGTTCAGTTCAGTCACTCAGTCATGTCTGACTCTTTTCGACCCCATGGACTGCAGCACATCAGGCCTCCCTGTCCATTACCAACTCCTGGAATTCACTCAAACTCATGTCCATTGAGTCGGTGATGCCATCCAACCATCTCATCCTCTGTCTTCCCCTTCTCCTTCCACCTTCAATCTTTCCCAGGATCAGGGTCTTTTCCAGTGAGTCAGTTCTTCATATCAGGTGTCAAAGTATTGGAGTTTCAACTTCAGCACAAGTCCTTCCAATGAATATTCAGGACTCATTTCCTTTAGGATGGACTGGTTGGATCTCCTTGCAGTCCAGGGGACTCTCAAGAGTCTTCCCCAACACCACAGTTCAAAAGCATCCATTATTCTGAACTCACCTTTCTTTATAGTCCAACTCTCACATCCATACATTACTACTGGAAAAACCATAGCTTTGACTAGATGGACCTTTGTTGGCAAAGTAATGTCTCTGCTTTTTAATATGCTGTTTAGGTTGGTCATAACTTCTCTTCCAAGGAACAAACATAGTTTAATTTCATGGCTGTAGTCACCATTTGCAGTGATTTTGGAGCCCCCCAAAAATGAAGTCTATCACTGTTTCCCCATCTATTTGCCATGAAGTGATGGGACCAGATGCTATGATCTTCGTTTTCTGAATGTTGAGTTTTAAGTCAACTTCTTCACTCTCCTCTTTCACTTTCATCAAGAGGCTCTTCAGTTCTTCTTTGCTTTCTGCCATAAGGGTGGCATCATCTGCATATCTGAGGTTATTGATATTTCTCCCGGAAATCTTGATTCCAGCTTGTGCTTCATCCAGTCCAGCATTTCTCATGATGTACTCTGCATGTAAGTTAAATAAGCAGGGTGACAATATACAGCCTTGAGGTACTCCTTTCCCGATTTGGAACCAGTCTGTTGTTCCAGGTCCAGTTCTAACTGTTGCTTCTTGACCTGCATACAGGTGAGTTTACTTTAAAATTTTTTTATATCTGCCATTTTCTTAGTAGTTTATAATTTCCCAAGAGTTTGGCCTCATCATTATTTGCTATGTGACTTCAGGCCGGTCACTGGCTAAGCTTTGGTTTCCCCATCTGTACAGTGGGAACAAGACCAATTGTCGGGATGGTGAAAGGAGAACACATGTGCAGAGCTCAGACCTGTGCCTAGCTCGTAATAAGTGCTCAGTAAGCATTTGCTGTTAGTGTTATTAGTAACATCTCACATGAACTTCACAACAACCGTATGAGGTAGGTGGGGTTTATCATCCTCATTTCTCAGATGTGGAAACTGGTACTCATAGACATAGGAAATAACTAGCCAGTAAGAGGAAATGCGGGACTTAGAAAACCTCCCAACCCCCAGCCTGCTGCCCTGCACCCACCCCTCAACTCCACCTCTTCTCTCTCCTCCAGCAGGCACTCTTTTATGAGCCAAATCATTCTTCTAACAGCACCGTGGACAAGAGTGAAGGAGTTGGAAGCCGAGGCTCAGGGAGAAGCTCTGAGGATTGCTAGGAAAGTTCTCCAAGTGAAAACAGGTTCTTGTGTAGGGACAGATGAACAGCACCTGCCATCATCCCTAAGAAACTGCCAGAAGGGCCAGCCTGCGGTCACACATTGTGGTGGACAGGGCCTTGTGCTGTCCCAGGCAGCCCCAGGGGGACAGCAGTGGGGGGTGTCCTCACGCCAGGAAGTAAAGGAGAATGGGAGCGTCTTCCTCTTACAAGTAAACAGAGAAGTGTTTTTAAACACTGCCTAAAACAATCATTTACATAATGGAGTTAAACTGCCTTCCACTTTGGGTTTGTTTTTTGTTTCTCTTTTATTCCTACACTTTTCTGTAATTCTGCATTTCAATGCATTTGTTCAAGTTTCTATTAGTGCTTCCTGGGAAGGCGGTGCATTCAGTCCGTCTATGAGCAACGGGCTGTGATAGGGTCAGTCCACCTTCTGAGGTGCAAGGTCTTAGCTGACTGCTTCAAGTCTTCAGTTTCTTTATCAATACCAGTAATGTGATTGGAAGATTCTGGGACTGGGTTGAAGTCAGCCCTCCTCGTCTGAAAATCATGTGCCTCCTCTTCTTTTCCGTCAAGTGGATCCTTCACCAATTTTTTTTTCCCTTTTATGAGTGAAAGCTCTTATGGTGTATCTTTTAATGGTAAGCAGTTTTTTTTTAACGACTTGTTACATGCTACTTGCAGAACCTTATCTCATTAACATTCCAATGATTTATTCAGCGAGTTGTTACTGAACACCCACTAAGTGCCAAGCATTGTTGCCAGGCAGCCAAAAAACAATTAAGACAGACTCCTCATAAAGTTTACAATGAACTGTCCTTTATAGTTATAGTTTCTGTTAACAGCTAAAAAGACAGTGACACTAACTACTTTGGATTTCCCCACAGCCCCCAGGAATGGCATAGGCCATGGTAGCCAAGTAATATTCTCAGATTTAAGCCATTAACTGGCCTGTTGAAAATGTATGCTTCTTTCTAGTTAGATGATATTCTACTTATGCCCACAAGGTGGAGATCTTGCTTATAGTTTATAACCAAGCTGAAAGCAAGGCATTCCAAAAGAAAAAAAAATTCTCAGAAGTTACACCAAAAGACAAAAAATTAAACTCAACTTACTGAGCACCTTTTTAGTGCAATATACTATGCTACCTGGTAAGACAAATAGAATGTTGTTAAGATATAGTCCTCTGCCTTCTAGAGAAAGATGAGGGTAAGGAGCTTGCACAGAACAGGAAGATGGTACCTTCTAATGAAGTAAGATAGTATAGCAATAGTAATCTCATCATCAGATAAGATCTATATAAAAGTATGATATAGCTACCGTGAGGTGCCGAAGAGAGTTAACCAAAACCCCGCATTTCAGTCAATATGGAAACACTTGAAGGTATACTGCGGCAGCTCTGGAAGTCTCTAGATGTGGTCTTCAGAGTTCTACTTAGTCACAGACCTTAGGGCGCCTGCCCTGTAACTCTAGAATGTTCATTTTTTGGCAAATACAGTATAATCAGTACCAGGTGATGCGCTGATGCAGTTGAAAACCCCCATGTGCATCTGATGCAGGGTATAAAGGGAGAAACATGTGAAAGGGAACAGATTTCAAACAGTTGCTTTCAGAGGTGGAATCCACCCCCACCCCTCATCTTGTGTCTTACCTGAGAATCTTGGTTTGGATCTGGGACAGAGTCTCATGCACAGGCTAAGAGGGACAGCCAGTTCTTATCCAAGAACTTTCCTGGTGGACTGAACTCAAAAGTGTCTGGAAGACAATGTAATTTGCCGATTTTGTTTTTCATTTTATTATTTTTGCTCCTCCACCCTCTTCCCCAAACAGTTTTTCCCTTAAAACCATTAAACCAGTAAGTCAAATGCAGTATGGTGGTTGTTTTTTTCATTTGTTGAATTGAAAACCACACGTGGGGCATAAAGTGACTAGCTAAATGACAGTGAGCCTCTAAAAATAAGAATGCTGGCCACTTGACTAAAAATAGTGAACTTTCCAGATAGAGGGAAAATCAAGCGGCCTGCTACTTGGAGAGCCCCGCTTGAATTTTAGTTTCTCCACTTGCTACCTCTGTGGTCTTGAGCAAGCCCGATCCCTTCTGCGTCCCCCACGAGCAAAATCGTGTCATTCTAAAGAGAAACGGTCTCTAAGGCCCCGTTCCCTGGACTAGGTAGTATCTTGGGTTGTAAGGCTGTCATGACAACCTAAACATCTCCCTAGACTGTGAGCTCCGTGAGCAGGGGACCGCATCTGTGGATTTTACTGCTCTGTGTCCAGAACCGAGGACAGACGCTTTGTTGAATGAAACCTGCCTAAGTGTTCTGGCACAGTGAGGTCGCATTCCCAGAGTCCCTCTGGAAAGGGCGAGCGACCAATTTCAAAGCGCACAGGACCAGGGTAGTGAGCGCGCTCGGGAAAGGTGGTGTCGGTTCAAAGTTGTTTGCTACAGATGGTTCTTCTAACCCGGCTGGAGTCACATCCTCTGGGGCTCGCAGAGCTCCCCGGGGATTTACATAAGGCAGGGTGAATCACACCGTTGGAAACAGACTAGGCAAGAAGACCCGCCCCATTCACGCCGGGCGGCGCCCGGAGCTCGATTGGGGGTTAGTCTGAACTTTGCAAGAGGGACTCCGCGCCCACTGCAACCCCCGTGAGAGCCAGCGGCGCTTCGTTCCCACCCCGCGCGACTCCAGCTCCATGCCGCCTGCTCCCACGCCCCCGCGCGGGCGCCTGCAGCCAGGCTTCCAGCTCCCGGCCCCTAAGTCCCCGACTGTGTGGAGCCGCCGCTCCCGCTAGGAAGGAGCCATCGCCGCTTTAAGGGGAAGAGGAGGGGAAGGGGGCGGAGGAGTGGGGGGCGGGGAGCGGCGGCGGAGGAGGGGGAGGGGGATTCCCCCCGCCCTCGCTCCCACGTGGTCCGGGCGCCTGTGAATCGCGCCCGCCGGAGGGTCTCACAGCGAAATACAAAAGCAGCTGGGAAGCGGCAGCCAGGCGAGTTCTCAGTGCCGGGCGGAGCGCTGGGCAGAGCCTCGCAGCCGCGATGGAGCTGAGGCGCCCGGAGCCCCGGAGCCAACGAGCTGCCGGGCCCGCCTCGCCACCGGGACCCGGGCGCCGGGGCTCGGCTTGAAGCGGCGGCGGCACCGGCGCGGCCGCGGAGCATGGGCAGGAGGATGCGGGGCGCCGCCGCCACCGCCGGGCTCTGGCTGCTGGTGCTGGGCTCGCTGTTGGCGCTGTGGGGCAGGCTCCTGCCGCCGAGGTCGGAGCTACCCACCTCCGGGCCGCCCGAAGACCGACTACCGCGGCACCTGGCCCGGAGCGGCGGCCGGGAGCCCGCGCCTCGCTTTCCTCTGCTCCCGCCCCTAGCGCGGGACGCCCGCGGCGGCTCCCTGAAAACTTTCCGGGCGCTGCTCACCTTGGCGGCAGGCGCGGACGGCCCGCCCGGGCAGCCCCCGGGTGAGCGCAGGCGGCACGTGCCAACCGGGCGGCCCGGGCCGGAGGAACGCGCCGCGGTGCACGGGGGCGTCTTCTGGAGCCGCGGCCTGGAGGAGCAGGTGCCCCGGGGCTTCTCGGAGGCCCAGGCGGCGGCGTGGCTGGAGGCGGCGCGCCGCGCCCGGGTGGTGGCCCTGGAGCGCGGGGGCTGCGGGCGCAGCTCCAACCGGCTGGCCCGCTTCGCCGACGGCACCCGCGCCTGCGTGCGCTACGGCATCAACCCGGAGCAGATCCAGGGCGAGGCCCTGTCCTACTACCTGGCGCGCTTGCTGGGCCTCCAGCGCCACGTGCCGCCGCTGGCACTGGCCCGGGTGGAGGCTCGGGGCGCGCAGTGGGCTCAGGTGCAGGAGGAGCTTCGTGCCGCGCACTGGACCGAGGGCAGCGTGGTAAGCCTGACTCGCTGGCTGCCTAACCTCACCGACGTAGTGGTGCCCGCGCCCTGGCGCTCCGAGGACGGCCGTCTGCGGCCCCTGCGCGCCGCCGGGGGCGAGTTGGCCAACCGGAGCCGGGCGGAGCTGGTGGACCTGGTGCAATGGACCGACTTGATCCTCTTCGACTACCTGACGGCCAACTTCGACCGGCTAGTCAGCAACCTCTTCAGCCTGCAGTGGGACCCGCGGGTCATGCACCGCGCCACCAGCAACCTGCACCGCGGCCCCGGCGGGGCGCTGGTCTTTCTGGACAACGAGGCGGGCTTGGTGCACGGCTACCGGGTGGCGGGCATGTGGGACAAGTATAACGAGCCGCTGGTGCAGTCTGTGTGCGTGTTCCGAGAGCGGACGGCGCGGCGCGTCCTGGAGCTACACCGCGGCCAGGACGCGGCCGCCCGGCTACTGCACCTCTACCAGCACCACGAGCCTCGCTTCCCGGAGCTGGCCGCGCTCGCCGACCCCCACGCTCAGCTGCTGCAGCGCCGCCTCGATTTCCTTGCCAAGCACATTTTGCACTGTAAGGCTAAGTACGGCCGCCGACCCGGGACTTAGCATTCCCCGGAGGAAGAGAGAGTGTGAGACCCCTGGCTGGGGGATGGATGATGGGAGGAAGGGCCGTCGCCTCGGCCACCTCCTGGGGACCAGCCGGCCAACGCCCAGCCGGAGACCAGAGCGCGAAGGCGACCAAAAACTTCCGCTTCACCCACCTGCCCCTTTCTCGCAGTCCCAAGCTGTTTCCTTTCAAAGTTCTGGGAGGATGAGCTCACCCAGCCTATAAAAGGATTCTTCCCTGTGCCAGCACTGAGTTTGCATCCAAAGAAACTGGCTGCTGCCGGACTTTGGCCCCCGGGTGGCCGTCTCGGTAGGAGATACAGCCCCTTCCTTGGCAACCCCTCCACCCGCCCCTTCCCTTCCCGAAAAAGGCAAACTTCTATTGGAGCCATTGAGCTAATTCTGCAGTTTCCTACCGATCGCCGCGCTGGTGGCCCCGGAGCAGGGCTCTGACATTGGCTGGTGGAGCCCCTTCCTGTGTTCCCTTTGTTCCGGCTCCGTGATGGTGAGGTCACTGTTAAGAGCTGGGGAACCGCTCCGATAGGACAAAGGGAGCAGGACCTACGGAATGGGGGGAGTCCTGCAGACCCTGGCAGTTTGTCTGACTTGTTCCTTACAGCTTGTCGCCTTGGCCTGAAGGCTACATATGCAGGACTGCCTGTGTGCACGGAGTCAAAGAATGAATTTCTAATCCCTCCCCCATCCCAACCAGCCAAAATTTTGACGATGAGGATGTTCACCAGAAGGAAAAAAAATCCGTTTTATGCACTTTACTTTGTTTTTATTTTAATTTTTTATTAAGAAAAACTTGTTTTTTATTTGACAGAATTTGCCTTCTGTGTATATATGTGCATAAAATGTGGTGTAAATATACCAAACAAACTTATATTTCAATAAAAGGGAGTTTAAAATTTAGAATTTAATTCCTGTGGTTTTAACTATTGGAGGTATCTGACATCCTACCTGGTTTTTGAATAAGCTTTAGGGTTTCTCCCTTGTGGATGTGCTTTTATAACAAAGGACACGTGTATGTATATCCCAGTTGTGACCACAGAACTTAAGAGAGCTGAACAAAGGCAAGAGCAGATTCCCTGTCCTGCTCACTCAAATGAATCCTAGTGCTGGAAATATCAGAGTTCAGCAGAGAATGTGGGGGATGTTGGAGAAAGACATGAAAGGAAAGTTCTATTTCCTGGCAAATAAAACTTTGATATAAAAGGATTTCACTGTAATAAAGTCCTATATTAATCATTTGGCAAGTATGATAGAACCAGATGTGCAGACTGAAATATGACAAATTTTTGACCCCCCCCTTAAGCTTAACTACGGTGGTCATGTGTTGCACCTGATTTTTAGGATTGTAATTACCGTGCATCTCAATGTGTACCGATAATAAGTTGAGCACATGTTGCAAACAGGTAGAGAAAGTCATAAATTAATTCTTCTCTTTAATCTCCCAGCATAAATTCCATTGCATCCAGGAGATCATACTCTCCAACATCTGGACTCATCCAGCTCTCTTAAGAGATTGTACTGGTCAATACCCGCCACCAGCCCTCCTCCCAGTCCCCCCCCACCCTCCCACCCCAGGTACTAACTGCACGGTCCCCTCAGAGCAGCCATTGTCAGACCAGGAAAGTGTGTAGTACTTTGTATATGGCATGTGGACCCTCAACTTCTTGGAGATTTCAAACTTAGAAAACATCTTTGTATTTTCTTAAGCTTCGTTTTGACCCATAGGGGAGAGGAGAGAGAGGCAGTTTATTAATGTATTTTTTTAATGGCCCATTGGTGTTTTTTCTTGGCATTTTATTTGACATGTGGGTCCAAATGATCTTGCCTGTTATCTTCTATTTATTTAATGACTTCTAACTCAAAGCAACTTTTGGCTACTTTAATAGAGTTTTATTTGATTTGCATTTGTAAACCTGGGGTTTTATAGACTCATGATGGTATTAAATCTCTGGGTTTCCCATCTCACTGTGCATTACAACCCAGCATGTAATTTAACCATTTAATGCCATCCTTATGTTTCAGTGCCTCTGCTAAGACAACTCAAAAAAAGAGTACATAAACTTTGTGGTGTAAGCCAAATATTTTCATAATACAGCCGCAGATGGTAGTGATAATGGGAAATCTTTTTCAAGACATCGTTAATGTGAAACCTCTGATAGTTACATCTTTAAAAAAGAAACATTCTCCATTTCTGATGATTAGTAACTATGTGAGATTTGCTGCCCAGATCAATAGAGGCTGCTCCAAGAAAAGGATAAATATTCAGCAATCTACATGTTTACCTGACGTGTTCGTGGAGAAAAACCATGGGCAGAGCGAAGTTAGAAGTTTCACGGATGCACAGAAAATACACCCTGAGTCCCATTTAACTTCAGCACTGGTTCACTCTGGGCCAGCAGCATTCTCCACATTCCTCCTGAACTTCAGTTCCTAGCCCAGACTTGACCATGGTTAACCAAGAGCAAGAAACTAAGCATAATTTAAATGGTTCTTCTCAGATTCTTTAGTGAACCATTTCTGCCTGTTCGAGAAACAAGTTTAATTACATGGTGGAGTTGTTAAGGGAACCAAAACTTAATTACAGAGAAGAGGTTTTAACTGTTACTGTTGATTGTGGATAATCGGTAGGCTGTGGCATGAAAAGATCAATTAATATTTTGCCATGGTCAGTGAATGCTGCTAGGACCAAATCATTTTTCAGATGAAGGAAAAAAAAAACTTTCAGGCTGTAGCATGATGTAAAAGAGTAATGAGTTCTGCAGGCAGACTATATTCTGAATTCTGTCCCTTACCTATTTACTTTCAGAAAGTCATTTAATTTAGTTCTCTCATCTATGAAATGGAGATTCAATCTGAGTATTGTGGGATTTAAATGTTAACATAGAAAACATAAGGATACATGCTGCTGCTACTGCTGCTAAGTCGCTTCAGTCGTGTCCGACTCTGTGCGACCCCATAGACGGCAGCCCACTAGGCTCCTCTGTCCCTGGGGTTCTCCAGGCAAGAGTACTGGAGTGGGTTGCCATTGCCTTTTCCGAAGGATACATAGAGGTACTTAAAACAAAAAAACTTACTTTCTATTGCTCTTTAAAAAAACAAAAACTCTTGCCTTTCTTACACTTCAGTAAATTTCTACTAATTTTCATTATCAAATTTAGAAGTTTCTAGTTCAGGTCATTTTTTTATATTAATTATAAACTAATTTTTAAATGATTGAGAACCCTTTTCTAGCATACGATCCTGAAAAAAGCACTGGATCCTATGGCCAGGGGCACAGATTTGATTTCTATATGAGCTTGAGTGGGTGGTTTCAGGACCCAAGCAGACCCCTGCACCAAAGGCAGCTGCACTGCAAATATATGAGGGTGATATTTTCAAGAGTAGATGGCTCATTGAAAATCCATCACCACTTCTGGAAAGCATCAAAAAGTGATGAATCTTTGCAAGAAGAACAATCCTCCTCCCAATTCCTTCTGCCAAGAGAAAGTAGGCAATTGACCTTTACTCTCTGGATTTGACTGTTGATTAATGCACTTTGTCAATGACATAGTTCTAAACTCTATTAAGAGTGCTTGCCCTCCTGTCTTCGGATCCTGAAGAAAAACAAATTATTTTAACACCTCTCAACACTTCTCCAACCTTCTGCCTAGGACTGCAGCTAGGAGAGTCCTCTTAAGGCCTAGAGGTTGATTATTTGGATTAAATGAGTAAATATTTGTAATATTCTCAGGACAGTGCCTGGCACAGCGTAAATGTAATATAAATGTTTGCTTATTCATGGGGTAGATCGTTTTCTTCTCTAAGTCAAAACCAGAGGCATTTTGAGTCCCAGACAGGATCCTCTTTCATAATCCTGCTGTATCTCTGCGGTCACAGAACACTTTCTACACGCTTTTATTTTGGCTCAGGAAGACCAGCCAGAGTGCAAGAGTCTGACAGGAGTTACCTAAAGCCCACAGTTGTCAGCTGGTTGCCTCCTTTCTGAGAATGCCCTTGTATGAGTTGTCGCATGCAACCCCCTCTTTTTCACAGGGAGGCTGTGCTTCTATTTCTCAAATGGCTCATCAGCCCCAGGGAGCAGTAAGCTGTGGAACTGTGCATCTTCTGAGCTACCCAATTGCCATGGATCATCCAAGCCTGGGCACAGATTATTTATCCCTCCACACACCTGCCCTATCCTACAAAACCTCTCATCCTGGGTGGTGCAAGGTTGGCAGGAGTATGAAAGGAGAGGGGAGTCCAGCTTATCCGAAAGCACAGAATTGCTCCAGGAGGGAATAGAATGTCAGCTGCCAAGGTGGCATGGAAACCACAGGGCAAAAATTGACACCCACCTCCAAGCATGCTTTGATCATTAAAGTCAAATGGAAAGGATAGTGTAAACCCAGAGAGGAGAGCTATTTATGAGTCATGGACTTGGGGAAAGTCATTTCCCCTCTCTGACTCCAGGTATCTTACCTGGAACAAGGGGTGTTAGATTAGATCGGCAACTTCACAGTGTTTTTCACCAGAACCTAATGGCAACCCACTCTAGCATTCTTGCCTGGAAAATCCTATGGACAGAGGAGCCTGGCGAGCTACAGTCCAGCGGTTGCAAAGAGTCAGACACAACTGAGCGACTAACAACATAACATGCCCTCGTATGAGTTGTCGCATGCAACCTCCTCTTTTTCACAGGGAGGCTGTGCTTCTATTTCTCAAATGGCTCATCAGCCGCAGGGAGCAGGAAGCTGTGGAACTGTGCACCTTCTGAGCTACACAAGTGCCGTGGATCATGCAAAGTGAGACACACTTTATGTTGTAACCCAGGATGCACGCACATGCACGCACACACAAACCCACCATTGAAACAAAACTTTCACAAAACAGTCTGTACAACACACTTTTAGCTTCAATTCAATTTTATTCTATTCCTCCTCTTCCTCTACTCCCAGTGCTAGTCCTGACCCTCTAAACTGATTTAGTAACTCAACAGTGCAGCGTAATCTACCCTAGGCAAACACTGGATTAGGTGGCTGGTAAACTCCTTTCCAGCTTCCGTGGTGGCCTAGACAGTAAAGAGTCTTCCTGCAATGCAGGAGAGGTGGGCTCAATCCCTGGGTCAGGAAGATCCCCTGGAGAAGGGAATGGCAACTCACTCCAGTATTCTTGCCTGGAGAATCCCTTGGACAGAGGAGCCTGGCAGACTACAGTCCATGGGGTCACAAAGAGACACGACTGAGTGACTAACACTTTTCACTTTCAAGCTCCTTTCCACCTCCAAGTTTCTAGGGAAGTTCCATTTATAACCAGTTCACCACCTACTATAATTTTCCCCAGAGGGAATCCAGGCAGATTTCAATCTTGTATGTTTTCTAAAACCAAAAGACTGAAGTATATTGCAAAACATAACTGGAAGAACTGCTCAAAATCTCACCTAGGGTCTTTACATAAACACCTTTAAAATCCCCTAAATGTGGATAGAATATAGCTTTCAGTTTGTTGCTACTATGTCTGCAAATGTTGTGAGGCTTTGGAAGGGAAAAAATTTCTTTGCATCTCTGCCTCAACATGGCCCAAGGACGACTCAGGAGGACGGTTTCTTTTCTGTGTATTCATAAAGATCAGATGTAAGAGTCATAATTTTTTAATGTGACTGTTTTACCAATTTCTCTTTCTGTGTCCTGCTGTGGGGGAAACTGCATTAATAAACTATGTCTCAATGCTGCCTAGCTGGAATTTTTTTCTCTGCAGGACTCCTCCAAATATAGCTAAAGGAATGCTCATTTTATTTATCTTTTCAACTTTCTTTCCATTCTGGCTGTCTTCTTGATATTTTTGAATTTTTTCTCTTAATGGCACCTAATTTGGGGGGAGAGTAGAGAACTAATTGTTCATTGAATAACAGCGACAACAAAAAAGTTTTTTTTTTCTCCCTTCTTTGATGCCATATGGTATCCTTTATGGCTTTAACAGTTACTTTACACTCTATCCCAGAAAAAATTAAATAGCTTATGAAACTGGCCTTTTTCCAGTATCAGCTCACAGATTTTACTTTGCTGAGAAATTGTGGGTTAATAATAGAGAAGTGTCATTTTTAATTTGATGGCCCTACATCATGCATTTGTCTCTGCCTGTTTACACCTTCCCCGTAATAATTTTTTTCAATGCTTGTTAAAGTCTTTGTTTCCATCCTATAGCTGGCCTAGAAAAGCAGGAAGAGTGGGGGATGACTGTGGCCATGATCCTCTTTATCTTTTTCTTTTTAGTTTTGATAAATTACACACATCATAAAGTTTGCCATTTTAATCATTTTTAAGTGTGTACAGTCAGTGATATACTATCAACATGGTACAACTATACCATTATCTATTTCCAAAACTTTTTTATCGGCCCAAACAAAAGCTCTGTCATCATTAAGCCATATATCCCCACTCCTTCTTTCTACCAGCCTCTGGTAACTTCTAATCTACTTTCTATGTTTGCAGACTTGGTTATTCTTGGTATTTCATGTAACTGGAATCCTACATATTTGTTCTTTTTGTCTGGCTTCTTTCACTTACCCAGCCATGATCCTGTAGGCAACATGACAGAATGTAAGCAGTATCATCTGGGAACTGCACTGGGGTCTGATTTCCATAATTCAATAGACCTGGGTTTTCATACCAATTGATGAACTCATTTTCCTCATCTGGAAAAACAATGGGAAGGCTAGATGTTCTCTAGCATCCCTTTCAATTCTAGAAAATGCTGTATTTTTATGTACAAATGAATTTGACCCCTAACTTCCAGTTTCTTTTCTCTACCTGAGACTCCTTAAAAGTCTCAGGTCATGTGCTAAGTTCTGTGGTATCAATGATGAGCAAGATAGGTAAGGTACCTACCTCTAAGGAGCTTAGAGTTTAGTGAGGAGGATGGAAAATAATCCAGCAGAAACAATGCGATCAATAGTTTTGCTCAGATGTATCCACTCTTTGAGACATCATGGACTGCAGCCTGTCCTTCACCATCTCCCCAGAGCTTGCTCAAACTCATGTCCATTGAGTCAGTGATGCCATTCAACCATCTCATCCCCTGTTGTCCCCTTCTCCTCCTGCCCTCAATCTTTCCAGGGGAATGTGCTGTGGGACCAGGTAAACTAGTCTGGGGTAGGGGAGCCAAAGAAGTCTTACAAGTTGACCTTGTGTTTGTCTTTGATTTTAAGGAAGTCTCAAAGAAAAGCAGGCTACAAAAAGGATTGTCATTGTATTTCTGAAGATGTCTTGCTGACCAGACTGCAGGGAGGCTTGATCTTTATAGTTTGTCTTGGAGGGTTGAGGGAGTCCCATGATGGTGGTTTAAGCTTTTGTTACAGCAGAGATACCATCTTTTATATGCAGTATGATATACACTTAAATATTAGTCATCCTGAGATTGGATTCATGGGAAGATAGAAATTCATATTATATACTGTAAAAATTCATATCATAGAGAAATTACTAATACTTGTGTCGGTAGTATTAATAACTCCTTTTTTGCTGAACAAATGATAACAAGTAAGACTTTCTGTTATGCATTTTGCTAGGTTGTTATGGAATTAGCAATGACAACCATGGATTAAATATTTACCGGTGTGGAAGCAAAGACTCAAAAAAGTAAATTTCCCACATGACTTGAAGGGGTGGAACTGTGGCTTGAAGTTAGATCTGTCAAGTTTCAAAGAGCAGGTTAAACTTTTTCCTTTGTCTTCCTTTTTTTTCCTCCTCTTTTTAAAATGTTAGTCATTTCTAACTGGTTTCTTTAAGATCTTCTCTTTGTTCTTGATGTCCTGTAATTTCATTATGATGTATTTGGATGTAGATCTTTTATTCCTGATAGGAGCATGGTGTGTTTTTTAAGTCTAATGAGCCCTTTTTTTTCAATTTTGAAAAATTTGCAGTCATTATCTCTCAATATTTATCTCTGAAATATTTTATCTTTTTTTATTTTTTCTGTTCCTTCTTTCTAGAAATATTACTGGGCATGTGGAGGACCATTTTCCATGGCCCAAGTTCTCTTACATATGTTTTATCTCTTAATCTTTCTATGCTGCCCTCTAAGTAATTCCCTCAGATCCTTCTTCCAGTTCACTAGTTCTCTCTCCAATAGTGTCTAAGCAACTATTTTATTCATCCCTGGAGTTTTGTTGTATTTGTCTTGACTTTATCTTTATTCCCAAAAGTTCTATTTGGTTCTTAAAAAAAAAAAAACCAAACTTTCTTTTTTAGAGGAATTTTAAGTTTGTGGCAAAACTGAGGAGATGGTGCAGAGATTTCCTATATACCCCCTGCCCTACATATACATAGCCTCCTACATCATCAACATTTCCAAGTGAGAATTTCCAACCAGAGTGATTCATTTGTTATAATTGATGAATTTACATTAACACATCATCATCACATAAAATCCATATTTACATTGTTTCACTCTTGGTGTTACACATTCTATAGACTTGGACAAATGTATAATGAAATATATCCACTATTGTGGTATCATACAGAGTAGTACCAGTATCATCATT